CAACCCACTTTTCCACAGAGGTAAAGTGTAAGTTAAAGACCTTGAGAAGCACTGGCTACCCTGCTTCTGAAAATCCCTCCGTAAGCCTTGGTGGGCAAGGTCTGCGCCTTCTTTCTGTGTGGTGAGTGTATCTGCACAGTGTCAGCACTCCAAGAATAAACACAGGGCAAATTTCCACAGAGATTTGCAGCAGGATAATTGCCTCAAACAGAAGGATAAATAGATTTTTCTAGCATTTAATGGGCCTCTTAAGTGAACGGCAATAAACTCTATGCGAACAGATGTTTTCCCTCTTTTTTGTCCTTTTGCATCTCATCCATAATTATGCTCTAAAATGTTCTTGTCTGGGTTGCTGAGAGCAATCTTGTTGCTGTTTGTCTTTGCCGTGTAAGACTGAGCACTTCAGCACAAAGATTGAGCAAAAAGCCCTGGATTCCTAAAGCCTCCTGTCACTATACATCACTGATGATCTTCTTTCCTTCACATTAAGCCTGAGGGAGGAGTGAGAAGTAAGGGGGAAGATTTGCCTCTTCCAGCTGCACATCCCAGAGCTGGCGTCTCCCCCTGCCTGCACTGGTGCCCTGCACTCTGGCTAGGAGGTTCCTTCACTTTCCTGGCTGCTGGAATTGACCCAGATACGGCTCAGGAGAAGCCACAGCTTCTCCTTTGCCTTGCAGGGGAGGTAGGTGTCCTCTGGGACAGTCGTTGCCGGTATGCTGCCTCTGCTACACTGACTGGACTGTGGGGAGATGGCAGTGCGGGCTCTGTAGCCACTGGCTTTGCCTCCAGCCTAGCCACCAGGAGAGTGGCAGGCACAAAGCAAGCCCTGCAAAAAGCCTTTATGCTCTTGGGAGCATGTACTCGATCTCCTGACAGAGTACAGAGAAATTACCTTGTTCCTGAAGAATTTCAATGCATTCTGGCAAAGGGATCTCCTCCTTACAAGGAGCCTGCAAGCGAGCCAGGAGCTGGGGCGCAACCACAAGCATTAGCCTAGCTGAGTGTTCATCGCCTGAAGCGATGCCTGTAGAGGTGCCTGTGTCACTGCAAACCCATTTTGTCCTTCCCAGAGCGCCTTCACAACATCCAACTGGCCTTTGCTTTCCACGTCCATATCTGAGGATGAAGGCAGGTGTACTGCAGGAAGACACATGCCTAAAGGATGAGTCCTGCAGCAACACCTAACCTATATACAAACTCTCAGCTAAGGAGGTTATTCCACTTCCAATCAATACCGTTATCTCTGCATCACTGATGCTGCTCTACATGGCATCGAGGGCAAACTGCCTTGAAAAGAACCTGCGGGAAGAGTGCTGAGTTTTATCCTCACCGTCTGTTCCCAGACAGGCTGCTCAGCTGCAGGGGAGCTGTGGCATCTTTTCTGCTGAAGGCAAGGCCATTTCTCTCCTCCTTGTTAGGGTTGTATCTAAGACGTTTAAAATGCAACCAACTGGAGGAGGCGATTGGCTGACCACATGGTAATTGTTTGAAAAAGCATCCTTTTTATTAGAGGTAAGGACAATGATCCTGAATTTAGTGTCCTGAAAAAACAGGATGCTTTTCAGACACATGGGTGAGGCCTTCATTAAACATGGATGCATATTATTAATTGGCCTGCATACTGGTCCAGGACATTTTTGCATGCCTTCTATCCTATGAAAGCTGCTTTTCGCCCATCAGGTCTGTCAAATGTACTGCCAACCACTTCCAGCTTTTATTGTTTCCTATTGCCTTAAATGAGGCATAAATTGTACAGACACATGGCAGTATATCAAACAGCGTTGCAAGACAGACTGTAGAAAAAGTGCACAGTACATTAATTATGGGTCCTAATTTGTTTGCGAATCTTCTTCTACCTGGAACATTTGCTGCTCTTCTTCTCCCTAGCAGCCCCAGTCCTCTGGCTTGCTTCTCTTCTCCCCTTGGAGAGCTCTTTTCACTGAGTGCTTGCAGATGAAAGTCTCTCTCAGTGACATCTGCTCTATTGCTCTGGTGCCGTTGCCATCCCCTATATAAATACTTTGGCATTTGTACTATTCTATGTAAGCCCATTAAAACATGTAATAAAAAGGCTTATATAATTTCTTAAAGCCATCATTACTGCTCCAGCTGTGGTGTTTTCTCAAATTCTGACCATTATAGATTAATCCCTATGCCAAATTACAGTGTTTAATGAAAGATATTCATCCTTCAGTTTAGAAGTGTAAAAATGTCAGTAAAATTTATGGCATCCAAAAAAAAAGGCAGAAAGTTGAAGCCAGAATAACACCAAGGTAATCTCTAAAACATAGAGAAAATAGGATTTTGTAATAGAAACTCAGGGTAATTTTTAAGCAAAGCTGGACATCTGTCAGGGATTACAGTATAGATGCAGAAGAAATACAGGCGACAGACAAACTGCTATGACAAAAGTCTATGCAGTAGTATGTGAACTGCATATGAGCTATCACTGCTTAATTCCTCTAAACTGGAACATCTTTTTAAAAAATGGCCATACCTGTTTTCAATTTATATACTAGTATCTGTTCAATAAAATTGCAAGCCCTTATTTTAAAAAGCAGGCAGAATTTTGCTTGTTCAGAATTATTGGACAGTTAAGTAAAAGTCAAACTGTAAAATCACTGTTGTTCTTCTACAGGAGAGAAACAGCTGCTAGAGGATTAGAGTTAAATAAATAAAGGTAAGGTCCAGGTATAGCACAGAGCTGCAGAGCATCTTCTGCTGAAGGGCTATCTCATTCTTCTTCTCATTCCTGCAGTGAATGTGTGTGTACCGGTACAGGTATGTATGAGTGCAAATGCAAAAGAGTGTGTCTCAGAGGTAAACCTTGATCTATAATCCCCTCTTCGGGCCAATAATTATCAACCAGCTCTTTCATCAAATTTGTGGATCATGTGGCCAGACCATGGTGTTTGAATCCCTCTGTAGCTGGAGGGAAAAGACAGCCTCTGCTCATGCCTCGTGCTGTGCTGCTGCACAGCAAGATCAATCTTGTGTTAAGCTGCCTAAATAGCCCACAAGCGTGAGGAGAGCTAATGGGAGACTGCATGAACATATATTTTTAGCTGTTATCTTCAAACTTACCAGTGGTGAGCTGAGAAGTGGTTTTAATAATTCACACAGCTGAGCTTTTGCCTTGACAGCTGTTCAGACATGTATTTCTCAGCTGCAGTAAGTCAGTAATGGACCAGTGCGGCCAATTTACTTCTCTGTTGCTAACATTTAAAAGATAACAGAAGGAGATTCTTTCTCTAAGTTTTCAGTGGGATTTAAGGTATGGGAAGAAGTAAGGGCTGTACCTACCTGGCAGCGCCAATGGCTACGTGCAGGCTCCAGGGTTGTCTGTCATTTGATGCATAAAGAAATCCAAGATTCTGAGCTGCAATTTTAAGGAACAGAAATGAGATCAGGCTTGCACCGAAGCCACCATTGAGAAGTCACCCAGGAGCTACAAACATTTCATCCCACGTTCCCCAGGACTATGGCAGAGCTTTGGCACATAAATGTGCATGGCAATAAACCAGGCCTGGGCCACAGCTCTGACTCCTGCAGACTCAGGATCAGAGGCACACACATCTTCAGTGGGGAAGAACACACTGTGTTTCTCCTCCTGTGGCCGCTTTTAAAATGACCTTGTGAAAGTTTCTGCATAAAACATCTCTGTTTTCATGTGGATGGAACAACATCACTCGGATTTTAAAAGCATTAGCCAGGAGCGTAGGAGGGAGGAGAGAGAAAAAAAGTCTTCCTTTACTCTGTCCTGTAGATTTTGGCAAGTGGCTCATACCAAGTCCAGTGCAGTTGTTAGGCAGAGTCAAAAAGAGCATTTTTATTCATTCACTCATTTTATAGGAGGAATGTTTGACTTGTACTAACAGCCCTTGGAGAATCTAGGGAACTTCTAGTGGCGTTTTTTCCTGTCTGGGGTTTAATTTTGCACAGGACTTGGGGAAGACATTTTGACTAACCAGAAGGTAAACAGATGCCTTGACAGTAGGTGGAGGCAGAAGATGGATGGTAGTAGGCAAGATGTTTGAACTGAAAATGGCCGTAAGAGAAAGCAACATTAAAAAACTGCTGCAAATGAGAGATTTCACTACCAACAGTATCCCAGGCAAGAGGTAATTTACAAGCAGCAAATACAGCACCAAAGCAATGAAATTTCGTTGGTGATAAACTTTTTCCATCTAGAGGTTTAGCACTGTGCTCTCACCATAGAGAAATTTGTAAAAGAGAGGAATTTTAGCAGTTTAAAGACTTTTTTGGGAGAAACTAAGGGAGTTGTAGCTCTGTGCACCTACATATAAAGCAGACACAATAAGACTAATGTCTGATTTTGGTTATCAGGGCATGATGCTCGCTGTTCTCAGCAGAAATTGAATGCTCACATTTAGAGTCGCTGTTCCAGTTACTCCTTGTGCTACATGGCAGTGGTTTGTATTCAGCTGGATCCAGCATATGTTCCTTTAACACTATCCCTCATGCTTTAGGACAGCAAGAAGGGGAGGCTATTTGCTGACTGACTCAAAGAGTAAGCATGTGTTGCAGAATCTGTGAAACTTTACAGAAGCTGTACTTTGCAGCAATCACCTCAAAAAGGCCCATCCTCAGGTTGGGTTGGAGTTGCATCCATTATGCTACAATTTTAATTTGCTCTTTTTCTTAACAGGCATTGCTCACACACATATCTTTGCAACCAATGCTTGGGGGAAGAACTGATTTATAATTCATTGTTAAAATGGAAAAGTGAGACTGTTTAAGGTACTATCTTAATTCCCACTGATTCTCATGCTAATCCAGATAAGATTTCTCATTGTTCCCGAGATTTCCTGAGATCCTTCTCTACCATTGTTCCCTTTTTCTTTATCTTTAGAAGCCCTTTGTTGTGTTTTAAACAGGCAGACTTACATTCATAAGAGCTGGGGGGGAGTTGCTGTGGAAGTGGGTGGGAAACATGAGAAATTCAATTGTTTGTTAAAAAGCAAAAGCAAAATTAAAACACTGAGTTAAATTTTTGAACTGTTCTTTATCAGAACCAGTCCTATCATGCTCACAAATTGGGGACGATCAGCTTTCTTAAGGAAGAGAATATTTCACACAAGGTCAGCACTTACAGCTCAGTGATGACAAGAAGAGTGGCTGGATTCAAGTATTTGAGCTTTCTGATGAAGCTACACAGTGAGGGAAGAAAACAAATGAACCTGCGATGATAAAACCAAGAAAGAGTTTGTGGATTTTATTCTGCTCAGGTAGACCTCTTTTATTTGAGTATGTACTATTCAAGTTTTTAGGAAAGCTTTGATTTCTCAAGGGTTAAACCTCATGAGAGAGTTTTAAAATGTATTTGGGCACTTTATATTTTTGTAGTCAACTTCTGTACTCCTGCCTTCAACATTTTCTCCATAATCACAAACACAAAGTTATATTTTAATAGGACCTTAACAAGCCATTAATTATTGACTAGATGCTGATAGCTTAAAACAAACTTTGTGCTAAGAAGTTTGTGATATAATCATTTGGGCTAGCACTATTGCAAGTCTTGTGTCTTGTCACATTTACCCCTGCATTTAGTGTTCTGGATGTACGTCTAAACCTCTCTTTCCTGAGCACCAGCATTACTTCTGTCACGCAGATAAATGTTGCCATTTCACATGGAGAAGCAAAGTGGTGGACAGGGAGGCCCATGGCAGCCAAAGTGACCTTCTGCTGAGGAACTCCAGGTGATGCTCATGGATGGAGCCAGATGCCCATCACTTCAGCTGATGTCAGTCATGATCGGTGCAGTTACATTCTCCCTTTGCCCTCATAAAATCCTTTCTTGCACTAGTAGCAGGGCTTGTCTGATTCATTTGTGAGCCACCTAAGTGGGGTGGAAACAGGAAAAGCATGTGGTTATCAGAAAGGTCCACAGCCAGAGTCAACTTGTTTGCCTGTGGCAAGCACCTGAGTCTGTCCAAGAAAAAGAAAGGGACCCCTGAACTGAGGCAGGGGGAGGAGTGCTCTGACCTGCACTGCATTTCCCCAGAGAAATAAACCACCCAGAGGCTGTCCAAAAGATAGGATGGTACCAAAAAAGGTGTCCAAGTCTATTAGGAACATGTTCCAGATACAGTTTTTCTTGAATTAGTTTTCATCTGGATCATGGCCCTGGTTTAGTTTATGACAGAGGAGCCACCCTCTTGCTACAGGAATGGCAGGCATGACTGCCATGTACCCCCTTCCAAGAGAGGTCTGCATTTAGGGAAGTTTATAACAACCATGGAATTGCTTTAACCTAATTTAGAAGAACAGTTTACCTAAAAAAAGAGGACAGCAATGTTTAAACGGCAGGGAGCATGCACCTCACCTGTCAGTGCATCTGTGCTTAGAGCCATGCTTGAAATCTCACTTTTCCAGATAGATCATTGCTCTCTCCCTCATCTTCCTACATGCAGCTCCTCTGTCATGCTGCCAGCAGGTCTGGTTGCTTGGCTGCTGCAGGCTCCACTTTTCCCAGTGCTCCTCTCTGACCTGCTCCCCCAGCAGCAGTCAGCTCTGGCTCTGCTCCAGGCTGTAAAGAGACAGGGAGGAGAGGACACCAAAAGGAGCTCAGTGAAGCAAGTACTCTCCCTTGCCAGCAGACAAGGCAGGGGTGCTGGAAGCACAGTACTGCTCACAGGGGACAAGACTCACAGACTTTCTCCCCTACTTGGCAAAGAAATGGGGATTAGTTGTGCACCCGTGTCCAGGACATCCCACCTGGGAATACATTTATTACTCACCAAGCAGCATGTGCTGCAAATTGGCTGCCATAATCCCCCTCCCTGTTCACACAGAGCTTGCCTCCTGCCTTGGACACTTCTCCTGAGCTGCAGCTCCTGCTTCAGAAAATCCCATCAAGCATTGCTACCTGCTTATCGCTCAGCAATGGTTTAGCGTTGTGGCTTAAGACAAAAGCCAGCATGTGCACTTTATAGTTCTGTCTAGTGTGTCTCCCTTGTCAAACAACTACGGGGCCTCCAGTGCTCCCACAGAGGTGAGTGGGACACCTGTCCCAGGCACTGCCTCTCAGCTCTGCTCAGCTCATGCAGATCCTTTTTTCCATGCACGAAAACAAGGATGGGTCATAAAAATCAGCTTCTGGCCTGTGACAACCCAGGAAAGAAGCTACAATGCAAAGTATAGACTTAGAAGAGTTACTCATGAGCATGAGGAGTTGCAGCCAAATTAGGGCACCACAGCGGATGTTTCACGCAGGGTTCTCATACCCTTCAAAAGTTCAGGTCCAACACAGTGTGACTAATCACTAACAGCCACACCACTGGTTACTAATCAGAGTAGAACTTTGAAAAGCAGCTCTATTTTTGCAGCATTCTGGCTGCTTGTCTATTGATCCAGATGTCCCTGGAGCCAGCCTTGCTAGGATTATTATCTGTACTGCCAGATGATACTGGGAAGGTTTCAAAGACATATCAGAAGGGTTAGGATGCTAGTGTTATCTTGGATGTTCAGGGTTATCCTTTATCCTTCGTGAATAACTCTAACCTTCCAAGAAGCAAAGTCCTTGCTTCCAGGGGTCCAGGCTGTCCTTCTGTTTGACTTAACCATGAACAATGCCCAAATACGCAATAAAATTCCACTACTTCATGACATTACATAATGTGTATAATCTGAACTAATACATACACAGACAAGTTAGCACACCTCCATGCTATAGAGACGGGCCGACATAGGAGTTAGAGCGGGGAGTTCTGTCCTCTGTCAGGCCCGGGTGCGTGTACCAGCGACCCGCACCTGTGGCTCCGCAGCGGCACAGGTACCTCCGTGTTCGCTACCCGGGGGCGCGGAGCATCCCGCGGGCCGGCCGATGCCAAACACGACCGCACCCCGCAGCCCCCGCCGGGCCGGCACAGGGGCACCCCGGCCCCTCCCCGGCCGGCCCCGCTCGGGGCGGGGTCTCCCAAGTTTCGGCTGCGGCGGCGGCCGCGGGGCCCGGCCCGCCGGCGGCATGAGCCCTGCGGCGGGGCGGGGGGGGCGGCCGCGCCGGGCAGGGCAGCCCCCGCCGCCATGCCCAAGGAGCGGCCGCTCTGGCGGGGCCCGGCTTTCCGCCTGTGCCTGCTCTCCGCCGCGCTCTTCCTCTGCCTCCAGCTGGCCATGAGGCGGTCCTGGTGTCCGGAGGAGAAGCCCCGGGAGCGGGCGGTGGTGGCGGCGGGGCGGGCGCCCCCGCCGTCCCGCGGCGCGGAGCAGCGGCCGGGCGGGGCGGCGGCGCTGTGGGGCAGGCGGCGGGTCACCTACGTGCGGAGCGGGCGGCGGGGGAGCGCCGCGCCCGCCTGCTGCGCCCCGCAGCCCCCGGGCGGCCGCCGCAGGAAGGTAGGGCGGGCTCGGGAGGAGCCGCCGGCGTGTCGCGGCCGGCGCCCGCTTCTCCCCGTGAGGAGCTGAGCGTGAGCGGGCAGCCGGGGCGGAGGTGTGGCTGGTGCCCGAGAGGAGGTGGCGGGAGGTGAGGTGGGGTGGGATGACGTGATGGCGACTTCTTGGGAAGGTGGTCGAACGACTTTCTGAGCAGTGCTCCTCGGCTGCAGAGAAGGGGCAGTGATGCTGGAGCGGGGCTGGACAGGGTCAGGTCTCGGTTTGTGAAGGTAACACTGGCCCCAGTTTACCAGGCGCGCTCATCAGGCTTGACGTCCCCAGCCGGGAGCAAGGCTGGGAAAAAATCCACGGGCCTTGGCGTTCTTGGCATCCAAGTACCAGTGCTGTCACAGAAGGCGGTCAAGAAAGGATTCTAAGACCTGGTCTTCGTGAGAATTAATGAGTTAGTAATGAGGTGGTAATTGGACTGTAATTAGGTTCCTACTAACGGTTGTAAAGCCTTTCGGGGAAGCGAGGGCCATCATTAGCATCTGGAGTTAGCAAGAGTGAGGAGAGCCTGTGCTACCTTCACCCCTCAGTTAGCTGCCTGTGTGACCAGGAGTGGGATCTTGTCTTCTTCAATGACCTCCACGTCATCTTTGGTTTTGGCAGATGCCATTCTCTCAGGAACCACTTAGAGATTCAGATATTTATTTTGTGAAGTTCTCTTTGCAGTCCTTCAAGGGGAGAAGAGCCAGCTTTTGAAGGTGGGGAAAGAGCCCTATTTTGGGGCCCCGCTGTCAGGGTGCAGTAGTGATGGTCTGTGCAGAGATGTGCTTAAAGAAGCTGAAATGATCATGAGGAGGAGTAAACGGGATTTTGCTAGAGATGAGACTACCCTCCTCATCAAAGTAATTAACTATTTCTGATCTTTGCCTCAAAAAGAATAAAACCAGTTATCTGTGGAATGGCTAAAGCTTGTCTTTAAACTTATCCTAGAAACTTTGTCTGGGTTTGCTCAGAGTCCCTTGGTGAAAAGACCACTTGCTAACATCCAAACAACCATCTGACCAAATGTCCTGTGATCATGGGCTCTCATCTGAAAATCTGCTTTTTTTTTCTTTGCCTTTACTGCCCTCAGTAATTAAATTTATTTAAACAGGAGATGGAGAATGAACTTGCATATAGTTTCACTTCTGGATTTGCCTCTCATCTTCTGTGGGAAACTGTGATGGAAAAATTAAAACGCTATTTCCTGCCTCTGGTTCCCTGGAAGGTTTAGGAGAAATGAGATAATCCCTTGCGTCCTTCAGTGATGAGGACAGCCTTGTCACATATTTCTTCAGAATAATGGTAGTGTGGTAGCACCTGATGTGCTGTGGTATTGATATCACATTGAGCCACCTAGATCTTGCGGTGTCAGGTTTTGTGATTTTTATTGTCAATGGTGTTTTACTTGGTATTCTAAAGCCCAGCTTTTAAGTGATTCTAATTATGGAAGAATTTCAGCATTCATGGGGGAAAAAAAAATCCTGTGGATTAAGATAGGTTATTGAAAATGTGTAATAAGAATGGCATCAGAAAATGAGAGGCAAAAGTAAAGCACATCCTAACTTATTTAATGATTTTTGAGGAAATCCTAGTGGAAAGTAGCACCAGGAGAGGCAGCTCATTGTACCTGAGAACTGGCAGCACCTTGCAGTGCTGGAGAGCTTGAGGCTCTGGGAAGCCCACAGTAGTATGTTTTGGTCTATCTCCAGGTGAAGCGTGTGAAACATCACTACTGTGGTTTGTGGTATTGGGCATGTTGCTGCTGAGGTCTCATTTGAATCCCACTAGTGAAGTCAAGTGAAAAATATTAGTAAATACAATACAGGGTGGAGTTGCCAGGTTAAGTTTGAAATCATCAAGCATCTTCTGTGCTCATCTATTTGACTTGAGCCTGTTGCTACAGGCTAAGAAAAGTCTACTTGAAGTGAAGATAGGGCTTTGGGGATAACAGGACTGAACTTCCAGGGATCCCTGGTTTTGAAATAGAGTTGTTAAATAAAAATATAGGGGGAAAAGCTGTGGGAAAATAAAGTGGAAGTGGTCTAAGTACTGGCATTTTTTCTTGTGGAAAAGCACAGTAGCTTAAAAAAAATTAATGGGTGATTTTTCTTTTTTTTCTTTTTAAATCAGGAAATAATGTATTTCGCTTCAGACCACTGTAAGGCAAGATGAGGGCTCTTACCAAAAAAGACTGCTTAGATTGGAGGTCCGTAGCTTCTACCAGCAGCTCTGGAGAAAGGCATCAGTGTGCAGCTGCTACCAGTATGGTGCACTGCTGAGTGTAAATGCTGCCTGGAGGAGGGGGACAGGCTCCTTGCACAGATCTATGCTGTATCAGCATGGGATTGCTTTTTGCTGTGGCCTTTGTATGTTTTCAGTGTCTTCTGTCTGTCTGTAAATCAGAGGCTTTCAGGTATGGTTTTTTTTTCCCCTGCTGCTGTTTGTGGGGGGTG